AAAATATTTCTCAGTTTCAGTAGGATTCAAAGTATGCCAGGAAGAAAGATTGCTAAAACACACACACTTTGATTGTGTTGATTATTTATTTATTAGATTTGTATGGCCACTCATCTCAAATGCATGACTCGAGGCAGCTAGCAATTAAAAACAAAATCAGTAAGCTAAAAATATAAATAATATAAAATAGCAGCCAAGCAACAACACATAACAAACATCCACAGTCAATACCACAAAGAAACAGGCTCAATGGGGATTATGTCAGGCTGTGGTATAGGGATTCCAGAACACCTTATTGTCCTCATGGAAAACCTGTACACAATGGTGATAAAACAGCACCAGCCATTATAGTGTGCTTTTGTAAGTACACAAACTTTAGAGAATTTTCTTGTCTTGATTAGCTACAGATACTGGCTGGTATATGTATTCTGAGCATGTGAGTGCTTAATCTTCAAGTTGTAGGCAAATATTACTTTTACTCCAAAAGCTGAGTTAATAATTTGCATGCATCATAAGAATAGGAAGTCATACAATGAATTATTGTGTTTCAGGATTATTATCTGAATAAAACTAGATTCCAATGGTTATATGCGAAGGTAGCTGTTCGGTCTGTTCATTTGCTTATAAATAACTTGAAGTAGGTGTCAAAAAACCTTTTGCAGAAAGGACTTCTTGAAAGCTTCATCAGAAGTGCCATTTAAGAAATGCAAAGTGAGGCATTGTCTTACCCCTTGATATCTAAGGGGATAACTACTGATTTACAAGACAATTAAGTGACCTGTACATTAAGAACAGTCTTTTTTCTTGAAGAGCAACTGTTTTAATGGCATGGTCTATTTACAGACATAACAAATATTACTATTTTTCACAATTGTTGTGCAAAGTAAATATATTTTGTATCATATGCTTCAGTTCAAGAGTATTCTTTTTTTAAATTTTGTTTTTTATTAAAGGTTTTAAATACAATAGTCAAAAGCAAATACAAATTAAACTCAGAAAAAGAAAAAGAGATAGAAAGAATAAAAATTGCAAAGAAATAAAAGGAAAAAATAGAAAAAAAGAAAAGAAATGTGTAAAGAAGTGATTTCCAGTCTTCATCACAACAAGTAAGAACAAATTTGATAACTCATCACTCCCTTTAAGCTTACAAATAAATATCTCTTCTTCCCCTAACCCATCCCTTATCTATATGCAAATCCATAAATCAACTTTTCAGTCCTGGTATCAGCAAAAAGCCCGTGAAGGGTTACCAGAGCTTTATAAAAACATCTCTTATTTTAACCTTGATCAAACAAACCAACTTTATATTCCTTTCTTTTACTTCTAACAATCTTGACCTTTAATTCATTCAGATGTTCTTTATTTTTCCCATCACAAAGATTTCTGTGAGGCTTCACAGACCTCTTTTGGAAACTCAGTGAAAAGTCATTATCCAGGTCATTGTCTTGTCTTGTTTTTTGTCTTTACCCTTTGATTTTCAAAGCCCTAACCAACTTTTTTTGTGTACCTAGTAAAAAGTCCTTATCAGAGTTATTCTCTTGGTTCTTCTCTAGCTTGTCATCCATACTTTTTCCCATCTTTTGTATTTCCAATTTGAATGCCTTGTCGATTTTGAAATCCACACTTTTTTTATCCAATATTTCTGATTCCACTATTTCTGCATCAAGTAAAATGCGTTTCATACCTTCATTAACATCTTTTAGACATAGTCTATCCATAGAAGCAGCCATCATTACTGATATTGTTGATATTATGGCTATAATTTCTGGCCCCATTCTTCAAAGATCTCCTTTAATATTTGAAATGTTATAATATTTTGTGTCATTTTGTAAATTCCAATCCTAAAGGCAAGGGTTTTTTTTACTTTTTTGCCTGGACTTTAGTCCCCTCTAGTGTCCAATTTAAATCATAAGGTCTCTTATCTCTGTTATGACTTGTGGTAGTCAAAATAATTTTGGTTCTCACAAAAAGCTGTTTAATTTATATAGTTAATTCCAAAATCTTATAGTAAAAGTTTCACTATTCCAGATTTGTCTGAACCCTTTGAACTTTCTTAGTTCATAATCTTGTTTAATGTTTTGCAGTTTATTTCAAGTTCTTTAAGTTCTTAAACTTACAGTTAATTTTTCTTCTGTTCAGGAATAACGATACACTCACCAGGTGACTTTTCAGACTTGTCATTCTGAAAACCTCTAATAGCCTTAAGATATTTAAACAATTTCCAGAAGTGATTAGAAGTGAGGTTAGCTAACCTAGTGTCCTGTAAAAGGTGCTGGCTGCTGTGTGAGCTTGATGATTAATCCCTTCACTTCCTGGCATTCATACCTGCTGGAGACCACTATCCTGCAGTCTCCTTGTGAGGACCAGCTGTCTAGAGCACATGTAGGTGATTTTCTACCCTCTCCTTATCCGGAGAGGTTCCAAAGACTCAGTCTATTCACCAATTCTTCCATCTTTGCCTTTGGTCTTTAGCTCACCATGCCTCCACCGGAAGTTCCAAGTATCTTCTTTTTCCAGGCATTAAAACCATGACTCTTGACTGTGCCCCACTCTGTGTTACTTTCACATTCTGTATAATTTAGACCAGTCCAGTTATGTCACAGAAGCTTCCTAGAGATCTCCATCCATTTTGTAAAATGTACACTTTAAATATAAAAACAAAAGAAATATTAATCAAAGAACTTTACAGTTTTGTGAGACAGGTATTACTTTTGTGAATGCCCTTGTACCTTGATTTTGGACCATGGAGGCAGGATGCTGGATTTGATTGACATCTGACTGGATAAGTAGGGCTTTGAATGAATGACAGGCTGATTGGTCAAGAAAGCAAGTAAATCTTGCAACAGTTTTCTTGATATAAATGCATTATCAACAAAATGCTTTAATGTAAATGAAAACTTACTGTCTGGTTTTCAAACAGTATTAATCTCATCTGCTCTCTGTACCTAAACTTAGTGTGTGCACACATGAATAGCATATATATTTGCTTTTTCTGAGATTTGAAGAATTGAAAATTTACTCAGAAGCCTACACAGCTTTCTTGAGAAAATACATAGTGTACTTTTTACTATTTGTAGATAACAAAATTAGCTAAAACTCCCATTAAATCCTGTTGCCCAAAATTGCTGCATCAATTCCTTCTGGTCTTTTGTTCTTTCGACATTCTATCCTACACTGTTTTGCTGTAGAAAACACCTTTCATCTTTGGAATGAATATGGGAGTCCCATATTGATTGTTAACACATTAGGATTCCACAGTCAGGTGAGTATATACACACAAGGAATTCAGGCTAAATCATGGCACAAAGTTTATACTGTAACTTATTAATGTTATATTCATAATTTTGATTTGGGGAGGGGAGAGGGAAAAGAATGTAACCACTTAAGACATGCTCATATTCTTTTGAAAAAGCATGTTCTCCAGTTTAATATACATTAATTAACATACCAGTTTGATCCATGGGATTCAACTCCATAAGGATCTGCTTTCTCAATTGAAAATAAGGACTTAGGTAAACTTACAAATTTGATAGATAAATAAATTCAGGAATAGTACAATTTTAAGTTGATGTGAGCAATGGGATGGCAAAAGGTAAAATTAGAATAATGCTGCGGGTATATGTTGTTCTGGTTAGTGATTTTAAGTCATAATGAGTATAATAAGCAATTTTTTTTAAAGGAACCACAATGCTTTCTAAGTGATGTACAACTTGTCTGCATACTTAAGGAACAAGTGATAGTGGTGGTTTACCATATATAAAAGAAGTAGTTTGCAATACTGATATAGACTGTCTTTAATTAAACCATATGCCATAAGAATTGCTTTACTTCAGGTGTCAGAAGACTCTGGATACTTCTACAACTCCACTGTTTCCACTTCCCAATCCTTCAAAAGAAATCTGAAGGTGATCTATGATTATCTTCACTTTGGAGGCCTCAGAACATTGAGAGCAAGAAACAAAGAGCATTATTTAATTATTGCCTAAATTCAAGCTGCCATCAATCCGGGAGTAACAAAAATTCTCCCATTCCTATTATGCAAAAGAACACTTCAAAAAATGTCTTGTACTCCACCTACCCCCTTCACATCCTAGGTAGATTTGTTTGGTAACATGCTAAATAAGTAACTAATTAAGGCATTTTTATAAGGGGGAGCTGAAATGGTGTCAAGCCATCTTTATTCTTGGAAGGCAAGAGGAAGAAACCGGGATGTGGGGTGAGGAATATTCATGCAGATGGAAAACAGAGCACTCCTAAGCATCACAGAGATACCGTGTTTCAAAAATATCACGACTGAGAAACAAATTATATACAGCCAATATCATTGCATTATCTGCCCCCACTAGATGATCTTACAGAGTGGGCAGATTGGTGCAGAAGAGTGAATCCTTCCAGTATACCAAACTTATGTTATTTATGGTTTTAAAAGTAATTGCAAATTTAATTGTATCTAACAAGTAATTGGCAGCTACTGGAGCCATTACAGATGCCCATTAACATTTTTGCATTTACTTTCAGGATTTTTAGGATTTTAAAAATCCACCTGAGATACTTTCAATTCTCTCCCAGTCCACCAGTGACTTGGGATTCAACAGGTGCCTCTTGACCAGCAACTGTGACAGAAACAGCACCTGTTGGATTTCTGTCCAATCATGATACCTATAAAGGCACAGTAGGACTAAGAGGACAAAGGCAATGGTTGTGGTGGGGCTAATTTCCCTTCCTCGACTGCTGTTTAATGATGTGCCGAATAATGGAGCGTGGAGGTCGAGAGCCAGCCTTCCCTCCCTCTCCCTGCCCTAAAAATTCCTCCAGGGGCGATGGAGGAAAGCGGTTTGCCTTCTTCGTCTTAAGTGTTTTGCTCTCTCGGGAGCGAGGGCGGTAGACCCAGTTTCTCCCTGCCCGCCGCCTACCTCCTTCCTCGCTTTCTTGGCCAGGTAGGGGTAGGACTTGGAGCCAGGCCAAGGGCAGAGGCTTTAAAGAAACCGATCTCCGTGGCCCTCTTCCCTTTCCACCTCGGCATTTGCCCCAAGTAGGACCGTCGAGAGCACCAACAAGGGCGGCCCCAATGGGTAAGTATGGAAAAGGGACTGGCACCGCGGCTGGACCATATGGCGAGCGGGTGGGTTTCCCAAGGAGCCTCGTCTCCGAGGAATACGAGCAGCTGTGCAGCAACAGGCGGGTGGCTTCCCTCGCTCAGGCGCCCCCTCGTTGCCTCGCCGGGTCGGGAGGAGTCTCCTCACTTTTAGGGCGACTGGGAGCGTTTGTGCGTCCTTAGGCTGCGATTATGCTGTACGCGGTTCTCGGCGTGCAAGCCCCACGGAGGGCTTGCTTCTGAGGGGACCACTATGGGCTGAGGAAGCCAGGGGGTTCCCCGGACATTTTCAGCCAAGGCTACCCCTCTCCCTTCCAGAAAGAGGTCCCAGGGAGCGTGAACAGCTGCTTGCGTTCCCGTGACGCTTTTGGTGGCTCGTGCAGGGAGTAAGTGTTAAGCGCAGGAGCGAATTATGGGCGGCAAATTTAAAACAAAAAAGTCCGGGCTCCGCTTAATAAATCTCCCTTTCCCCGTAGACAAGACCTTGAGGAAAGGAAAGGAAGCTAGCCAGGCCCCCTCCCCCCCGTGGTGAATTCGACTCCTAATACAGCAACAACAGCGCTCTAACCCCCGTTGCGCAAGTGAGCGAGACCGCAAGTGCTCGCGGCCGCCCAGGTGCTTCGAGGAGCGAAAGAACGAGCGGGATTGGCAGGAGTTTGCGGGTTGTGGGCAGCGGAGAACTGGCCGTCGGTGGAGACGGGGTGGGGGGAGGGAAAGCAAGCCCGTTCCGTCAGCGGCTACCAGGGCAGAGCCGAGGAAATCCATCGCCAAGCACCAGCTGTGTGAGAGGAGCCGGCTGTTTCATCATCACCTCGCTCCGGGGGAGCTTTCCCAACGCCCCCGGCTGTGTTCACTTGACACACTTACCCGAGGTTCAGTCAGCCGTGGCTTGCTTATTAATGAACCCCATTTTTTCTGGGCGGGACCCATTGCACCACAGACGAAGCACGGCGCGCGAGGCTGAAACGGGGCGGCGATGCGCTGGTTCTCTGCGCACCCCGTCCTTGCGCAGGGGCCGAAACTCCGAGGCGCTTCTCTCCCGCTCTTTAGGAAGGCGCGCGCGCTCCTGGCCGGCGAGGGGCCGCTGACCCTTGGCCAAGGATGAGAGGGGCGGAGGGGAGTCTCGAACGGGGTGGGCTGCAAAAGGCGGGACGGTCTGTGGCTGCTCTTGATCCCGCTAGAGTAAAAAAAAAAAAAACTTGCTCCCAAGAGGAAACGAGCTGTGGCACCTTAAATCGGGTGGGATGTAGCTTCGCGGACTAGAAGGTGTATCCCATTTATACATGCACCTGCTCTTCTTCAAGGTACCAGAAGCTTCAGTATAACACTTGTGTTGCTTCTGGATGTTGTTCCCCAGTCAGCACGCGACTATTGAGCTGAGGTTCACGTGAGCAATCGGTTTAAATGCCTTTCTCTCGGTCTGGCTTATTAAGCAATTAGATCATGGAAGGCGGGAAGGGGGTGTGTTCCATCAACAACGGAGCTAATTGTTAGGCAGGCTTTTCGAAGATGCTCAAGTAGATACTCACTCAGAGCTTGTGTAAACCTTGTCTTTAAATGTTCAATGTGCAGCCAGTACAATTTTAAGAGAAAACCATGACAAACTGGCATTACATTCGGTAAGAAAGCAGTCTCCTCTAGACAAGAGCAAGCCTTTCGTCAAGCCGATTTTCTGCCTTTGTGCAGTCCCCAGCCGCAAAGTAACCAGAAAGGCTGAGCTCACGCAACACAGTGCTCAGCTTGGTCATGGGTTTAGTCAACCTATGGCAGTGTTGTCCAAACTTGGCCACTTTAAGATGAGTGGACTTCAACTCCCAGAATTCTGGGAGTTGAA